GTTGCTACCTGTTGGAAGTCTGTTTTAGTCCAACAAGGTTGCTACAAGTATAACTCAGTACTTGAACAGTTGCTACCAGTTGGAAGTCTGTTTTTAGTCTAACAAGGTTGCTACAAGTATAACTCAGTACTTGAACAGTTGCTACCAGTTGGAAGTCTGTTTTAGTCCAACAAATTGCTACAAGTATAACTCAGTACTTGAACAGTTGCTACCAGTTGGAAGTCTGTTTTTAGTCTAACAAGGTTGCTACAAGTATAACTCAGTACTTGAACAGTTGCTACCTGTTGGAAGTCTGTTTTTAGTCTAACAAGGTTGCTACAAGTATAACCCAGTACTTGAACAGTTGCTACCTATTACTTGCAGTTGCTACAAGTTACTTGCACATTAGAGGCACTAAAGGTCAGTTAATACAACCTACACTTGTCATAACTAAATATTATTTCTTGTTTTCAACCATAGGATAATTTGACAATCTACACTTGTCATAACTAAATAACGTTTCTTGTTATCAATTATAGGATAATTTGCTTGAAGATGCGGTGAAAGACTAGAGTTCAATTTTTTGTTGGATACACAAATTGATGTTAAACAGGTTCCTTCTCACTGCCATAATAGCCTCCACTCAGACCGATTTCTCTTACGATAAAAACAAAATTCTGAATTTTACATACCAAAATTCCTTAAAGAAACACAGTTTGATTGAACTAATCATATTACAAGTTACAAAACATATCATGACTAATTCTTCACTATCCAAAATTAACAAATCGATACTAAATGTACATTCTTATAATTATCCAACGTACGTAATAACAAAATCTGAAATAAGTCAAATAATGACAAACTGCCTAAAAAGTATATAATAATGGTTCATGTATATTAAAGCATTTATTTTTCTCACACAGTTTTACAGATAAAATAAAGCAGCACCAACATTTTAAAGAATGCCTCACACGATTAAAGGCAAATTTAATACTCAGATGGTAAACATGTAACATTCTCTAATAGCCAAATAATAACTACAATAATCACACCTGAAAGTAGTTGGATGGGAGAAAACAAAAGGTTATTACCTCGGGTTCAGTTCTTCGGCCTTTGCTTTTTCTTATTGACACTAATAATAGCGATAGAAGCATTGTTAGTAAAGGTCATTAAGGACATCAACCTCTTCATTATTTCTAATATTACTAAAAACAATGATATACTACAAAATGAGTTGGATAAGTTGTACAAATATTTGGCAAATGACCTTCAACTGTAGTAAGTACAAGGTAATGTATTTGGGTATCATAATTTAAATTACACATTTAATATACATGCGAGACATTTAAAACATCTTGGTCGTAACTAAGGTAATCATTTCATGATGTTTCTGGATGCTACTCTTTTCACGTTAAATATTAAAGTGGTTTTTTCCCAGGGCACTCCCATCACCCCCCCCCCCCTTCCAAATCAGATATTCAAAGCATTGGACTTGTAGATCCCAACCCCCCTTGAAGGACCATAAGAACAATGGTTTGTCTCATGTAAGTTTAGAAGAAATCTGTTATCTACAAACACTCACTTCATAAAGTACCATCTACTTTCTCCAACCATCTTCCAGCTCTACCTTTTCAACCAAAATTCAACATCCTTATACTTCTTCCAAGAACAGCCCTACTATTTTATCTCTTCATTGTTTCTGGTTAAACCCTGGGCAATCTTAAATGGAAATAACTGCAAAGTTGTTATTTTACCAAAACCAAAAATATTTTTTATGAAAAATACGTGATCATTATGTGCGGCACCAATAAAAAACATTTCTAGGTTAATTTAACGTAACATTTGAAGGACTTAACAATAGTGTGATAAGTTACTCAAACCACCAAAACAGTTCTCTGTTAATAGTAACAAACTAACAGAATTTTTTGGTGTATTTATTGAGACCACAAGAGGTATTTATCTCCTATACAAGTCACTAAGTTAGGCCTCACTTGGAATAATGTGTACAAACAAGAAAATATATTGACTTATTGGAGCGGCTTCAGAGAAGGGCTCTTTAGTAAATGCACTTGAGCTATCATAATTTGGATCCAACATTTATTTGTAAAATTGAACCCACTCAGTAGCGTGACCGAGAAAAAGGTTCATGGCATAGTGGTGGTGAAGTCCTAAAGCCATCAAAGCAGAGCTGTGTTGGCAGTAGCAAAACCATTATTATTTTAGGGTGTATCTATAAATATATTGATTGCTACTCAAAAAAGGTAATTATCTCTTATAAAGTCATTAGTTAAGCTTCACTTAGAATACTGTGAACAGTTTAGGTCTCACTAGTTAATAGAGGATACTAATTTGTTGGAAAAGGTTCAGAAGAGGACTACTAGGATGAATATGGGGATGGAAAAGTTTAAGATCTGTAAAGACACAGGCTAGGCTTAGTTGAGACAGGATGGTTGGTTTATGGAATGAATTACCATCAGCAGTATCGTAGGCCAACTTTTTAGAGGTACTTAAGATTTCCTGAATGATAAATAGTATGTTTAAATTTTTATTTTCCTCCAGGATGGGAGAGAAAAGACAGCCTTGAAGGACCAAGTGATCCCCTGTTGTCCATATGCTATTTTGAGCTTTTATTATTGCTTAAGTAAGAGTTCCCAATATAGAAGTAAATTAGTTGGGAACAAATTGCTTTGAAGGTCCAACCACTAGTGAAACTGAAACCAATTTTCTCAGTCAAAACAATGCTAACTTTATTATACCACTACATGCCTATCTTAAGGTCTAAGGAAATGTTTACATTTGTAAATTCACAATCTTACTTACAGTGTAAAATAATGCAAATCTCATTTATTGACTGTTCTGATAAACATATTGTATTATAAATATATTATGTAATTTATTGATGGAACTGTGTAACAATTCTAGCAAAAGAAGCTATTTTTAACCAAATATCATATTTCAGTTCAGCAAGAAAAGGTGAAATACAACTTACTTATAAGTGTAAGCACTGTAATAAATATTACTATATTTAATACTCTTATTATGATATACACAACCTGCCAGCCTGGATGGATCAAAGTAGCTATTTCACGATACTGCTCTTCACAAGTTAAAAATTAAAGAATTTTCTACTAAAACTAAGACTACTTCTGAACTAAAAATACACTTTAGTTGTCTGACGCACCCATCAGAAAACGTTCTAGGCTAAAATAAAATTTAAGGACAACAAGGGTGCCTGTTGGTCCATTCAAGGCTGCACCATCCTTTAAATTAAAAAAAAACAAATATATATATATGAATATAAAGATTATTTACAAATATATATATATATATATAGCAATGATAAAACAATCAAAGCCAGCTCATCTAATTTAAATATTTATGAAGCCTTATCTTAAACTCTCTTACATTTAATGCTTCTATCACAACTGAAGGCAGTTCATTCCAAAGTTTAACAACCCTGTTAGGAATATAAAACTGTCTTAGCTGAAGATGAATCCCACCCTGCCAATATTTATGTGTGTTCCTTTGTCATACCATTCTCACCATTAAGTACAAAAAATAGATGATACATCAACACTATCAATTCCTTCAACAATCTTACACACCTCAATCATATCACCTGTACACCATCAATTCCTTCAACAATCTTACACACCTCAATCATATCACCTGTACACCATCAATTCCTTCAACAATCTTACACACCTCAATCATATCACCTGTACACCATCAATTCCTTCAACAATCTTACACACCTCAATCATATCACCTGTACACCATCAATTCCTTCAACAATCTTACACACCTCAATCAGATCACGTGTACACCATCAATTCCTTCAACAATCTTATACACCTCAATCAGATCACCTGTACACCATCAATTCCTTCAACAATCTTACACACCTCAATCAGATCAACACGCTGATTGAGGTGTGTAAGATTGTTGAAGGAATTGATAGTGTATCACGTGTACACTATCAATTCCTTCAACAATCTTACACACCTCAATCAGCAGATTACGTGTACACCATCAATTCCTTCAACAATTTTACACACCTCAATCAGATCACCTGTGACTCTTCTTTTTTTGAAGAGAAACTTTTGGATATCTTAACCTGTCCTTATATAGCAACATTTTCATCCCAGTTATTATTCTAGTATCCCGCTTCTGAACTCTTTTCAATAATTCAATGACCTTCCTAAAGTAAGGAGCCCAAGACTGAACACAATACTTCAATGATGGCCTAACCAGTGACCTCTGCAGAGACAACTGAAAATTCTATTTAGCCTACCTATAGTAACAGAACACTGTTTGGATAGTTTAAGAGACTGATCAACCATAACACCAATATGTTTTCCATTCATAACACTGTTAAGGTTATTCCCCTCATAATTATATTTATAATTTACATTACAATAATCCACACACACTGCCTTGCATCTGCCATTTATTAAACAAATAATCTAAATTCTTTGTGAGCTATTAACATCCATATTAGAACCAGCAACAACAAAGAATGTTATAGCACTAGCATTTTTTTAAGCAATTTATTGATCATTCCTTGATCTATGTAAATAAAAAAAGGTAAAGGTCCTAATAATGAGCCTCGAGGTATCCCACTCCTGATTTTAATACAGAATGACTGAGCTCCATTTTAACAATTCTCAGCTTTATTCCATCAAGCCAATGAATCTACTTATCCCCTACACCTATAGAGATCTTTTTAACAGGTTTTTTGTGCAACACTTTTCTTAAATGCTTTATAAAGATACACACCCTAACCCTCAACTACTTAAGCAGTAACCTCTTCAAAAAAAAATGTCAAAAAATTAATAAGTGAAGATTCCCACAGTTGAAACTATGCTATCAAACACAATTTTAAACTTTAGCATTTTTGTTGTTGTTTGTTATCAAGCACAAAGGGCTATCTGTGCTCTGCCCACCACAGCTATCGAAACCCGGTATCTAGTGGTACAAGTTCACAGACATACCACTGGAGGGGTTTTAGCATTTTTAAGTTTAATAATCTTTCCCACCACTATTATACAACTAATAGGCCTGAAATAATTTTTATCACCTCCCTCAAAAAGAGGAATAACATTAGCCAACTTCCAATCTTCTGGCACTTGCCCACTATTCAAAGCTTAACAAATATGGTAGCTAATGGCTCACTTATCCAATCCTTAACCTCTTTCAAAACCTTTGGAAAATGTTAGCAGGCACAGCTGCTTATCATTCTTTACGCTTGCCAAGTTTTTAATAACAAGCTCAGAATTAATGTGATCATCTTGTTTTTCTTTAGCAACTGTTCAGGATGAGGAATATTAGTTAAATCTTCATTAGTAAAAATTGAAGAAAAAGCAAAATTTAGTAATGCAGCTGTATCATAATCATTAGATATGAACCTCCCTTTGTCATCTCTCAAATGCCAGGCTTCTAGCATTTTGTACCTCTTTAATGTATTTAAAGAAACCCTTGCCTTTTTTTCCCTATACACTTCTATATTACCCAATACCCTGTTTGATCAACTCTTGGTTTTCTATAAACCTCCAAGTCTTCTTAAATTTATAATCCTTTTATTTACCTTCATCCTTTAAATTATACTCTTTGATAATTAACCTTATCTTATTTGCAGTAACCCTAAAGGAACATGTCTATCTTGAATGATTAAAAATTTAAAGGTTCCAAATGATTAGAAGAAAAACCTTTTCCCTGAATTTTTTTTATTTGAAAAAGAAATTATATAAACTCCATTTTTCTCAATATATTTTACTTATCTACTTAATCTACACCTAATTTAGGTTTACACGGTACACCGTGCATTTCTATAAAACTTAAGAGAGTATGAGGCACATGTTGTTCATAATTTAAATTAAACTTTTTTACAGCTTTTGCAGCCATGCATTTTAAGCTTAATTTGGCCTGTGTACGAAGAATTACTTCTGCAACTCCTGTTGTGGCTGCATCAAAAGGTGTTTCACCACTATTGTTCATAGCATCCATATGTGCACAAGCTTCAATAAGTGCCGTTATTATCGAGTGAAATGTGAGGAAGTCTGTAATGGGGTTTTGGTAACCAACAATGATATGCAATGGTGTGTTCCTTTCCTTGTCCATAGCATTCACATCAGCACCACACTGAATAAGAAGTTTGGAAGTCGCAGCACATGGAAACTTACATACGTTTTTGGTGTGGAATTCATCAACGTGTGTTTCCGAGTTAACAGTAAGATGAAGTAGTGTTGAGCCATTTTGAGTTGTAACTGATGTTTGATTTAGCCTGTAAACAATCTGTGAAATTCTGTATTCTTCTTCCTTTGTACATTTTTTAAGAAGTTTTGTAGTAATTACAAGTAAGTACAGCACAGTGTGAATATTATCATCTAATTCTTCTAGGTACTGTGCTTGCATATTTTTTTCACAACTCTTCAAATTCTCCACGTTCCTTTCCAGCTCACGCACTGCTATATCTAGTACCTCCTCAACTTGCTCTATAGATATTTCAACACCAATGTGCAACATCTGTGAAAACACCTGTGCAAACCTTAGAAGATCTTTGCGTACACCAGTAACATGACTCTGGTGCCTCAGACGTAAAGCATGTTGCCAGAGCTGGATACAGCGGTCGAATCGTGCACTGTCGGCAAAAACAGCTCCTCTAAATATGACAGGATGGGGAACCTCAGGATTCTGAGATCCTAAAATTCTTTCCCTGATCACTAATGATTCCATATGCAAAGCGTTAGGATCATGTTGTAGAGCTCTTAGTGTTGTACAATCATGACTTTCCACTCTGTTGTCATAAGCAGGAATTGGAGTTGTTATTGGTTTTGAGATAATGTTATCAGGATCTTCATAACGGACTTTCATGGCCCTTTCAAGATAATTATAGGCCTTTTCAAGATTATAGTTGTCTTTATCATTGGCATATGATGCTCCAAGTAATTCCAAAGCATCTATTTGCTCCATTTTGGTACACCACGGTTGAGTAATAAAATATTCCACCACTTCATCCTTTGTCCTTTCTGCTGCTGCCATGACTGGAATCATCCCTACTACATTTTTCTTAACATTTGCACCTCCTTTAAGTAGTTCTTTAACAACATCCAAATGCCCATGTTCAGCAGCAAAGTGAAGTGAAGTCGCACCACAATGGGCATGAGCATCTGGATCAGCTCCTTTTTTCAGCAAATAACTGACAACATCAAGATGCCCTTTATAGGCTGCTATCATTAGACAAGTATTATTATATTTGTTAGCAATATGTATATCAGCACTATTCTCTACCAAAAATCGAACAATGTCCAAACGTCCATCAAAACATGCTGCTCTCAGAGGAGTTGAATTAGTGCGAGTTGGATGGTTCACATTTGCACCATGCTTCACTAAGGTTTTTACAACATTTAAGAAACCTGCTCCAGCTGCACACCATAATGGGGTAGCACCTTCAATAACATACCCATCAAACTGTACTGTTCCTTCCTTCTCAATATCTGGGTTGAACTTTGACAATAACATTTTAACAACTTTATCGTGTCCATTTTTAGCAGCTATGATCAATGGTGTACATTTTTGACCCTCTTCTTCCACAAGATAATCTAAATACAAAGGCCAAGTCTCTACTGGCTCTTCTGCCAACAATGCATACAAGGTAATTGCCATGCCATCACGAGATGCATAATACACCCTAAGTCTTAATGATTCTCGAGCTTCATTCATAATTTTAATCAAAATCAATAACTTACTTTTTTATTACTGTTATTGTTAACAAATCTTCCAAAATAATTAGATTCACTCATTCAGATAGCTAGCTCTTCCAGTTCCATTAGTAACACTATCAATAGTGTCGGTAGTTATTGTACTTCGCCGATAACCATGGGTAAGTTGGTTTTTAAAATAAAATAAAATAAAAACTACGCAGCAGTATTATATTTACATGAACAATATACGGTTTAAACATCAGCCTAATAACATTCAACTCTCTCGCTAACGATGATGAAATGACACTATAGTGCTGCCCTCTAGGAAGTAACTAAATATATTTAATATATATATATATTTACTATTTATTTTTATTATTTCAATCCTAGGTTAACATTTTATGGTACTTGATTTAAAAAGAATATGTTTTATGATTAACAAAACCATGGAACTGTACAACTACTTCCGACATTTTATTCAATTACTATAATGACACGTTGACCATCTGTTTTCGCTCGTAAATAAGAAAAATAACTAGCTGGAGTACCCGTTCCCTGGACGGAAGTCATGTACATTCACGATTAACAAAAGGTTATCTTAGGACATGAAAAGTTGCTTCCTTTGTATGTAATTGTAAAAAATATCCATAAAAACTACAAAACACGAAATGTGAAACCGCAAACTTGCATGTATCTTCATGCCAAATTTGGTGAATATTCATCAACGGGAGGCGAAGTACTGGTAAAAAACACAAACTGAAAATGTGTATGTATTTCCTCATGAAACCAATGAATCTCCACACCACGAAGTAGTTAAATGGACATACAACAGACGGTACTAATATATATATATATATATATCTATATATATATAGAGAGAGAGAGAGAGAGAGAGAGAGAGAGAGAGAGAGAGAAAGAGAGAGAGATCATTCAGAGAGAACATTGAATTATTACATTTATAGTGATTTGGTATGAAATTACAATTTTTTTTTGGGGGGGTATGATTTTAAATAACAACAAATACACTTATTTTAATATAACTTAAATACATTACCAGTAAAACTTCGGCTTATCTATTTTACAAAATATTTGGTTTTCTTACTTTTACGAAAAAAATGTAAAAACATTTTAAATATTTGGGAATACCAATAACATCGCAACGAAAACGTTATGTGGGAAAGAACACGGTGATTAAAAATATTTACCAATTCTTAGGTAGCATCGTATCTTTCTGTGTATATAACGTAATAAAAACAAACAAACAACAACAAAAAGATATACATTATAATTAATATTTCCAAGCGCTGTGGGCGCGTATTTAGTACAATTAAGTCACATGCCTTAAAGAATTAAAATCAGTTATAAATAATGTGGCTGATCACCTCTTTTTTAAAATCTTGTATGAAGAATGGTTGAATTTCATTCACTTGAAATGCTGATGTATAAATCAACTGCACTCTCCTCCTCCTACCCGTAAATATCAAACTCCGCTCATACAATCAATCATACAAAAATATGTATAATGTATAAAAGTGATATATTTGAAATCACTGTTACTACTCAATAATATTTGAAATGTCTTAATTTTTGCTCGAGAGAAAGTTTTAACACATATTTAGATATGTGAGAAGATACTTGAAAGGCATTTTTGTTGGACTTCAAATCTCTAGGACATCCTTAGACAGATGCAGCTAACTAACAATGTCTTAAAACTGTCTTTTAAGTAAGGGTGTAGTCCTGCCGAAGCACCACTCCAGCACCTGAAATTCAAGTTGGGTCCCGACATTTCCAAAATTAAAATAAACAAGTCTTTTGGTTTGTAACCAAAATTAAGTGTATTTCATAATCAAACTCTCAGTGCCAGAGAACATTCTGGTTGTTTATGATTCTCCATATCTACTGGTAGAGCTCTCTCAAACTGCTTAGCACACTGTCACTCTCTCTCATGAGCTGGCGTCAGGCACTGTGCGACAACTCAGGCTGAGGAACTGGTGTTACAGCGTTAAAATAGATTTTTTTTATGCATCACATAGTTACCAATCATACTAATATGTATCAAATATTTAATAAAATACGGTTTAGAATTATACTGCGTATTTAAAACGTACACATTTAAAAAAAACCTACTATTTACATGATAAAATTAAAATCACTTTAATTCAGTTATTAGTGTCGGCAGGACAGGTGTGCAAACCATTAAAAAAGTTAAAATGTTTAATACTTTGTTCGTTTTGAATTTCGTGC